CATACATATGTATATATATACATACATATGTATATATATATATATATATATATATATATATATATATTTATATTTATATGTATGTATATATATATATAGATATGATGTATAGTGTGGGAGTACACATATATATTATAACATGTGGTATTGGTATCTACCACAACATGAGACACATTACTCAAAAGTTTTAATAATTAAATTTTTGTTTTTTTTCTTGTTATTACATAATAGTTTTATAATTTACAACTAGTGTATGAATAACTTAAGATTAATTAAGAAGTATCATGAGAACCATATGACAAAACTAGTAGTTGTAACAATATTTAAGAGGAGACTCCTAAAGCAGAGAGTTAACCACCCATGGATATCAGTAAAATGTTGTAATTAATAGGTCGACGAAATTAGTGGAGAGACAATCTAAACGAATGGAGTAGCTATTAGCTTATGGATAGGAGGTGATTCTGATAGCAGCTCGAGGATAATATATTTTAGAATCAAAAAGTGAGGTTTGGAAAGAATTACCCATCAATTTGTGAAGGTGATACAGATTTGTTATCAACAGAAGAATATAAAAGAAATATTAAGTATGTAAAAGATTTCATACGAAGATAAAGCTATTTGTGCAAATGCTGAACAAATGAACTTTATCAAAAAGATGACAACGAATGCCCTATATATCTCCTATTGTATTGTAGCAAAAAAAGACCTAAGAGATAGAGGAGGCTGATTAAAGTCATAAAACTCTTGAAGTTCATGGCGTCACACCAAATTGAATCATAAGTTTTGTAGGCCCAATTAAGGTGATAGTTATGTATGGTTTCATGACATAATATAATATTTATATAAATTATACAGTATTTCAAGAAAGCATGTTGATTTGTATCTATATTATTATGAAGTACTTGAACCAACAAATTTATGATAATCTTCGAGATGAAATAATAAAAAATTTTATAGATAGAAAGTGGTCTGAAATCTATAAAAAGAATGGGATTATTTTTCTCAAGAATAAATGTAAGATAAATATTGTTTACCCCACCCAACAGCTCTTGAGATAAAAAAAATTGACAATGATAGCAATGATATGACGCCCAATGATATGCCAACAAGAGACATAGAAGTGTGAATTAAATCCAAGAAAGTTTTTGAACCTTGGGGGGCGGGGGGTTGCGTGGGTGTTTGTCTCCGCAGGATTCTTTAGTTTTAAGGAGTTTAACAAAACCTAGGACTTTGTTTGTGTAAACTGTGCAATTGGTTTCAAATGAATTACAAGGAATTCCTATATTGTTAGTAGATAGAATGGTATCAGATTTTAAACCTTGGTATTACAGTCTTAAACTTCTAAACCAAAATGTAGAAGGGCGATTTAGCCATTGGATGTTAAGGAGGAATTCCACACCACCTCCACAACTTTGAAGAAATTAAGATAAGAAGTCCAATAATTACAAAATCGACAACATCCGCTACCCTTTTTTGTTTACTGATACGAACCATCGTCATTGCATGATTAGATCCATCAGGAGAGAGAAACTAAGTCTTAAATCTATAAAATTAAAAATATAGACTTGGTTAAGCAGCACACAATCTAGTTTACTCATAATTCATTGTGCACCAACTACTTAGATGTTGTATTTTTCATTTTCAAGTCAAACAACCCCAATTCAAATAATATAAATAACAATCTTTATAAAAGCCGAATTTCCAACAACTTTATCTTGAGGTTAGAAAACTATGCTAAAATTGCTCGAGACAACCCATGGCTCATGAATATTATAAATATAATCTAAAATTTGAAGAAGATAGTTTCAAAGTTCTTCACAATTAGTCTTAGTATAGAGCCCACATGTTATAGAAAACATGGATGTTTTCTTAAACTGAATATCCTTAAGAATAGAAAACATGACTTGAGGAGAGCTACTCAGCAAATTGAAAACATAGATGAATAGTACTATATTTACTTGAACCCAAGGCTGCAGAATGAAACATTAAGCAATGTGCTTCTTAACGGTAGAAACCCTAACAATCTAGTATTTAGAAGATGCATTAAGACCCCTAATATTTCATATATGAAAATTAATCATAAGGTTAGAATTTTGGATATTTACTCAGGGGTTTAGGATAGTAACCCTATATTTTTCTACACTCATGAAAATCTATCATTACCAATGGGGGGAGAATCTATTTGTGGTGTTGCTTACACTAGGCCTTCGAACTGCTTTAGTAGTCTTAGTTGGAGGATCTAATTTTGAGTTTATGCATAATGACTCGATTGATAGGAGCTACAAGCGGCTACTTGTCACACGAAACTTGAGCCCTTTTAGAGGGAAAGACTTATCACTTCCTTCTGAAGGCTGATCTCCCAACTTACCATCACTTTTAGTAACTGCTTCACATATATCTTTTGAAAGGCGTACAAAATCTGAATGTGCATTGTATTTTTGCGTTTGATTTTAAGCAATTCATTATTGCATGATAAAGCATATTGTACGGGGAGTGGTGTGCAAGATTTTAATTGTATTCAACGCTAATGATATAGTTATACTTGTCATTTAGAGTAATTTAAATAGAATCAATGAACTTTTTTGCATGCAGAAACCTCTATACCACTTATTATTGAACTAAGAAATTTAGACACTTCAAAAACAAAAGGTTTGTGTCTAGGAGATTGTAGAATGTTACCCATAGTGGGATAGCAGAAAATTTAATTTTTTTCAATTAAGAATCATAATTTCAAGGACGAAGAATGAGTAATTTGTTACGAATGTACCAAGGTTAAGATTCCATAACTCTAATAAGATCGTCTTAATTATCATATTTAAAAATAAATTTCTTTTACTTCAAAAGAAAAGATTTGAAGAGATCCTACAAGTTTCCAAATAGAATTCATTGGGTTATTGATGGTGTGAAAAAGGAGGGTGTTACTAACAAAGTACCCGATAAGCAAGTTTTTTCAATAATTTTCCTTGGATACTTTTGATCTATGTAAAGCACTCCATCTTTAGAAAAACTCAGATTCCCATGATAAAGTGTATAATTTTTAGAACAATCTCTGTAACAACATGATGGATGAGGATGTGGCAACCACCTTATCAATACAAGATAAGATGAGGAGGCGATCTACTTTGCACCCATGTGTTAGGTGGTAGGATGCAATTCGGATGGAGAAGCTAAACCCAATTTGTGAAAGCTTCGCCTACTAACTAGCGGAGGGATGGGGTCCATTCCACGTGGATGAGGTGGGGAGAGTAATGCATCCATGCATGAAGAAGGAGATACACTTGGATTTTAGAAAAAAATCGCAGGCCAATTCTGGGAAGGAATCGGTGGCATTCTCATAGTAGCTTCTACGTTGATCACTACAACATTGGAAGGGGAGATCACTAGCGATGGACTGAGCTTTGACTAGCTACCGCTCAAACCAAAACATCAAATCCCGATAACATTTTCATACCAAGTATTTAAAACGCAAGGAGAGGGAGAGAGAGAGAGAGAGAGAGAGAGAGAGAGAGAGAGAGAA